GTGCCAGCTCAGGCTAATCCAATGTTCATTCAATTAAATTCCTAAATTTTGGCATATAAATTTTCCAGACCTAGTTCTATCTATATTATTGGTGTAACTACTGCAAATTCAACTTTGTACATAACTCTATGTAGTCATCGCTTTCCTTGCTTCAGTGTCTGGTGTCCTACTTAACGCAGTGGACATTTACTTAAGTCATAAAAAAGAAAGGAAGAAATAAAATCTAAAATAAAGGTGGAAAGGAGGGGAAGGGAAGGAAACTATGATCCTAAACAATTAGAAATTACTTAGAGAGGCCCCACAGTGAACAGAACTGCTAATCTCACCTAACTCTTCAAATGAGGAGAATTTGTTTCTGGCTGGATTACTGGAGAAAGAATAAAGATTCTGGGAGGGTTTCTGGAGAGTGATGAGCTATATCATCACTAACAGGCAAATTCTGCAATAGATGGAAAGGAAGTTCACTACTGCCTGCTGAAAAGTTGCTTGTTTTCTATGTCCTGTAATATGTAACCTCTCAGACGCTATGAGAGGTGCTCAGGCCTGGACCTGATAATCCATGCAAAAACCCTCTTGGAAAGGAATTATATTTCTAACCCACTAAAATACATACTGCACAAGAGCACAGACATCTGCTTTACTCACTATTGTATCTCCAGTACCTAGAACATTTGCCATATGATTTACACTCAATACTTCTTTGTGGATCACGTCATGAACTAGTAGAAATGAAATTCATTTGGTACAATAAATATTGATTTTTCTAAGTTCTGTTGCTTTTGCTATGTAAGGGCTTCTCATTCTACACAGGCACAGATTATCAACAATGTATAAATGAGTGAAATAAGATATTCGAAAGCATAGCCACAAACAAAAGGAAAATTTAGCTTTGAGGAGAGTCGTGACATGGTCCTGACAACTCTGAACAAGAATGTGGAAGAAGTATAAAAGCCAAGAGTTGAGGAGAATGAACGCAAACGCTGTGGGAAACCTTAATGAAACTTTTGCACCCCCAGTAAATTGCCCTCAAGTGACTAATGGAGTGAATGATGATTCTGAGGGAAGAAAGGATGCACACCTCAATGCTACTCAATACATACACTCTAGCTAGAGCATTACCACACTGCTCTGTCCTGGACACTGAATAAAGAAGCCAGCAACAACAGCAGGGGTTGCCCCCTGATGTTGTTCTGGTGCTGAGAGATGTCCTGTCCTTGAAAACTGAAAGGATCTCAGTTAACCTCTCCACAGGTCTCCCAAAAGTTTATAATCTCACACTATCCCTGCAAAGTTCTTGCCTGAAATGTTTCAAGAAAAGCGGGTTAAATCTTTAAAGCACCAAACTTGAACCAGGCACTCTCCAAAGCTTGGGTGAATATTTCTAACACACAATTTTGTTCTTCCTGGCCCAACCTGAATCTAGTACTGTCAGACTCCCAGTATCTCTTACACTGTACTCTGCCATACTCTCTGCCCTATCTTTCATTATCTGGAGGGCTAAGGAGTCTCATGCCTCTGCTGTCAATGCTCCCAGGCACCAAGTAGAGCTCCCACTGTCACGTAAACAATCACATCCCTGAAAGTTAAAAATGACTCTGAAGGGGGAATTCTCACATACAGAAAGACGATGTGGCCATCATCCTTGGATATCTACCAAATACTCTGATCAGCAGTACAGGTTTCTTCAAAGGTGTCTGTCTTTTATTTTCATACACACTGTCTTTCAACTTCCTATCCCATAGCTTCCAATAACTCCCTTAAGCCTGAGATTTTTTCACCAACTGTGAATACAGCCTAATTTTTGAGGCGTGTCTTAGTCTACTCATTACTTCAATAAGTGAAGTGGGCAACATCAGGACCACAGCATCCATAGTTACTGGGATAGGTCCAGGAAATTAAGCCAAATCATTCTCCAATTTTGCATCCTTATATGTAGCTCAGAAATCACAGAATTTATAAACAACATCAATTCTAATAATGAAATGCTGCTCACATGGACTTTTCTGGAAGTCTGCTTGTCAGCAGGGTGCAGATGAAATTTTTGCTCTACAGGACTGAAACTAATGGCTTCCATTTGTTGAATTAAACATTTGTGGAAATGTGTTTAATGCACTTTTAGCACTTACAAAACTACACTTAAAGTACTTACAAAACTATACTTATACTTACAAAACTATACTTGTAGAACTAATTTTTAAGACAAAAATATGAAAACACTGTTTACTGTAACTTCTATACCACTTCAGCAAAGCATGGAAGCCAGTTCTCATGCAAATGTAGCATCCAATTGCCAAAGTGGAAAAGATACAGTCCTTTTCAGAGTGTGGAGATTTGTGTGCATCAGAGGGTGGTACTGAGAAGGAAAAGCAGTTATAGGTTAAGATTGGACACAACTTTGGATTCTCCTACCACCATCATTTCAGAGAAACAGCTTTGTTTTTGGTACAGCAAATTTCCAAATTAGCATCTCAGCTGATTGCTGCCGATACCAAGCAGCAGCTTCCTTAGCTTTTTTGTTTCCTTCTTTATTCAGAGTCTGCCCCTGGGCACCCTAGGAAGGCTGTACCTCTTCATCAGACCAGCCAGACATTTGCTCATTGCTGCAGCCTCTCATGAGAAAGAACCTGTCCTCCCAGGAAGCTGACCCTGCCATGCTTTCAGCTCTCAGGGATCCCATGGGGCACAGAGGAGGTGAGACCTGCAACAATGGACTAGTCCCCAGGGGACTATGCCTTCCATTAGCTAAGAATTCCAGATGACTGAATGTGAGGCCATGGGCCCAAGGGGCAAATGAATAAAAACAGCTTCCTCGTTTCTCCTTATTACCATTGCCTCATGCTGGTCCTTTCTCTGCATGTCAAACTTATCATTCTGACTTGACAGAGAGTGATTCATAGGTGGTAAACTTGAGGATCTGGGTGCCAAGGGTGCATCTTTTAAAAAGTGTTCCTTAATTGCCTCTCCGGTGCTGTAGATTTGGCAGATAATGTGTCTCTGCCCTCAGAGAGCTCTAGACAGAGTGGGGGACAGGCAAGGAAATCAGAGTGTGGTATGCTGAGGAGATGGAAGGGGAGAGACCTGAGAATATACAAAGGGTCTCCTACCTCAAACCTCTAAGGGCAGTGATGGTGGTTCCGTAAGTCAAAGCGACAAGAACTCTTGAATCCAGATGGGTAAGGATATAGGGAATAATACTTGATAGGCAACATGTAAAAATTAGCCCGAGACTTGGAAGACAAAACAGACAGTGTTAGAGAAATCGGTGAAATGAAAACTATGACCAGATCATTTTACAGGGTCTTGTCCTGCAACCTGAGATAAGTGGGGATACTGTGAGGGCAAGGAAAGAGACAGGATCAGGGTTGTCAGAGGGTGGGGAAGTTACACAAAGGAGACAAGGAGACGAGCAGCCCTGTCCTCAGCTTCTCAGGCTGCTGCTCTGTCCTGAAAGGTCCAGGTTCTGCTCCTGCTTGAAAGTGGGTTATGCGACACTTAAGGGGAACAAGGAAGAAGGGTGAGCAGGTGAAAGGGTGGCTAAAGATGTTACCAGGGTAATTAGTATTTTGCTTTTACCCACCATATAAGCATTGAAGCATGTAACATTCCCAGTCCCAATTCCAAAAGCTCAGCTCACTCATCAATATTTCAGCATTTATTTCTGAAAATTCTCTTCTTTGGCTTTCATCTGTAATTTGAAAAATCCTCTTCCTTAATAATAACACAGCAAAAAAGCCAATGCTGTACCAGTTCTACACATGAATGCCTTGTTATTAATCCCTCTGTATAGGCAATAGGACCTCCTGGGCAAAAGCATCCAATCTTCCCAAATCTCTTTCTGGAGAGGCTGGAGAAGCTACAGCCAGCCAGGTGACAAATTGATCAGTATAAAGCGGCACTGATCCTCATTCCCTAGCACACATTTGAACTCTGCAGAGCAGGTAGGAGAGTTTCCACCAAAGAAGAGAAAGCCTTTGGTTTTTCCCTGCAATAATTAAGGAAGAAAAAGTGTGAGAGATTGACAATACAGGGGAGCTACTGAAAGAAAACAATGAAAGAGAGGGCAAAGCAAGGGGGAGACAAACACAGGGGGTGAGATCCAGGGAAGGCAGAGAGGAAAGCTGAGATGGATAAAACTGTGGATGATGGAAAAGTTCCGGGAGAGGACGAGAGCAAAGCAGAGAAGAAGAGGGACTAGGGCAGGCCCTGTGCTTCTTTACATGATGCAAGGGGAAAATTGGACAAACAGGCAGACTGGAGAAAATGGAGCTAGCTCCTCAAACATCTAGAGGGCATGGGCAAATGTGCAGGAAGCAAGGTCACACTCTGTCTCTCTTCTTTCACCCAGGGTTGTGGGGCTTCAAACACTGTCCTCCCCACTTCGCTTCCCACCTGTGATTCCTTTGAAACTTACAAAGCCAAGGTCCCGGCCATGCTGGACCCTTACCTCCATCCAGGACAACTGTCTCTTCCCACAAGCAGGCCTGGAAACAGATACTGAGGAGGAAGGATTTTGAGAGCTACAACAGGTGACAGACTCCCCAAAGATTACCTGAGGGAGGGAAACCAAGCAGGGGAGAGAACGCACAACTAAAAGGTTGAAGGGGGATAGGAGAATGATAGAATTGGGCATGTAAAGAGAGGGGCAGACTGTGGGCTGCCATTCTCTATGCGTCCATCTCCAGAGGGTACAGAAAGGCAGCCCCTGCAGTCAGTCTCCTCTACACCTCTATTTGACCAGAAAATATCATCTTTAGGATACGCTGGTGCTCTACCATGACCCTTCTGGATTTTTTCCTTAGAAAAAGCATCAGGAGTTTACTTTAGTGTCCCATCTTGGCTCAAGGCTGAAAAAAAGGCTGTTGGGTACAGGGGTAACAAGGCTGCTGTCTACATGAGAGCATTCCTCCTGGAGAGTTGGAGGATGGAATGAACACCTCAGGCTCTCCCCAAGCGGCAGCTCAGCAGTCCAAGCTCCTCCCCAGAACTCAGACAAGCTGGGAACCCCACTCCAGCTGCCTGCGACTGTGCCTTTAAATTGCTGCTTTCGGAGGGTGCATCTAGGGGGATGTGGGAGGGAGGGAAACATCTTTCTGCCTGTCTCCTTCCTCCCTCCCCTCCAAGACTCTCCAGGGTTTGCAGAGTGATTGCTACCCAAAGAGAATCTTTTCTGGCTCCCTGACCGCAGGCTGAGGCCCTCCTCAGTCCAAGACAAGTCCAAGCCGTTGCTGGAGCTGGTAGGGTTATTCGTGTCAGGTTCAGTTCCAGGGGAATAGTTCTAGACCCTGAGTGCTAAGGACAGGGCAGAAAAGAGGCAGAAGAGGAGAGCTCAACTCCTAGCCCAGCCACACAGGCTCCTTATTCAAGCCCAAGTTGGAGAAGGGCTCTGTACTGTTGCCTTTCCCATAGGGATACCTGGTCTCACCTTGGCAGCCAGGCTGAGAAAGGACTATAAGGTCCCTGCAGAATGACAACTCTTGTTCCTGCAACCCTCTTCCTTCTCCTCTGGACCCTGCCAGGGAAGGTCCTCCTCAGGTGAGCTCAGTGGGGTGAGAAGGTGCATGCAAACACTAACTGGGGGCTGGTGCTAACAGATGGGGCATCTGGCACAGTTTCTTCTAAGTTTGCAAAAAAAAAAAAAAAAAAAAAAAAAACAGTCTGGAGGGAACTGGGGGAAGGACACAACCTCCTTAGTCAGGACCCAGGAGCTGTCCAGTAAGTACAGATATAGGGCCCCAGTATGGGTTGAGGAGCTTCAGTGAATTGCATGGGTCTTGATAGAGCCTAGTTAGCTGAGTCCTAAAACAGAGGTCATTTGTCCTGTAATTGAACCCTATCTCCCTACCAGCTGGAACCCTAAACATGACAGAAACATATGTCAGATGCCTGCCAAAGAGGCTGCAGGTGGCAGAGGTTTGCTCTAGGACCACAGCAGAATGGAGCTGTGCTGCCTGATCCTTAGCTCTCTGCAGGCACCCCACCCTTGTGTACATTGCTGCTCACTGCCCTGTTAGAGGAACCAGGTAGAAGTTATTTCCTGGGTTTGCAAGCGAGGAATTCTTGGGGCTCCTTGTAGACGTCCCCTGACCATCTGCCCCTTCCCATTATAACAAGAGCTAGTCTAGGTTGACAGGGTACATCGAGGAGAAAAGATGCTAATGCCTGGCTGAACGGGTGATCTTCAAAAGAACACCTCATGAAGTAGAAAGTGTGAATGGCAGAGCAGTGTCTTCTTCCTCTTAACCCAGGAGTGTCCCAGAGCACCTTGCTTCTGAGGCACGTTCTGCCCCACTGCCTGTGAACACACTGATGGCAGGCAGGAAGGGGTGAAAAATTGGACAGTATGCTTAGAAGTGAAAAGCAGCTCAGAATGGAATGGCAGCATAGAGGGGGCTGAAAGTATACAGATATAACAGACCCAAAAGGGTCACTGAGTTGATCCCTATAGAGGGAAGACTGCCTCAAGATCCACGAACACGTGGCAGAAGTACCATGTGTGCTGATAAACTGGATGTAATTAGAAGAAGAAGGGCTCTTAGAGAGTCCTAAGTCCACGCTATTAGTTGTACAGATGGAAACTGAATCCTAGGGAAGGGTAGTGACATGCTCACGGTTGGTCAAGTACCCAGTAGCTGAAGCAAAGTTCTCTCCTCATGCCACCCAAGGGCCTTAAATGATGGTTAGTTCTCAATCTTACTAGATCAGGTCAGTGTTTGGAAGTTCTCAGGGGTGAGAAAGTGGATACAGTGGTTTTACAAAGTAATTCTTATTTCAGAAGGTAAGGGACCAAAATAGGTTTGGGGACTAAAGAGAGATTCACAGCCTATCCCGGAGTTCTAGGACAGGGACTAGAGAAGCGGTGACCTGAGTGAGGCTGAGGACAGTAGAGAGGTCTGGCTGCTCTGTAGCAGGGCCATATGGCCTCCCAGCAGGCTGGTGGCAAATGGCCAACAGCAGCAGCAGCAACAGCAGCAGAAGAAGCACCTGGCTAGTGTGGACATCCTGTAGTGAAGCCACAGACTTCTGCCTGCCCCAGCATCACTACCAATCTCCTTGGATTTCCCCAGCCTGCTTAAGCCACCTGCTATGGCTACTCCTGCCAGGGACCAGGGTGGCCTCTGTCCCCAGGGCAACGGACTCCCCCCATTTTGGGGATTCAAAGCAGAACTCTAGGAAGTCACAGTAGGGCAGGTCTTCAGTGTTCCTCACTCTGGTTCTTTGATAGACCCTCCTGGGCTACTTTTCTTGTGACAGTACTGACAGTCACATTGAGTCTTGAAGTTACTGGCTTTGAATTTTGGCTGCACCGTTCACTAACTTCAGGTTCCTGAAGCCACTTCCCCTTCACCTTATTGCTCCCTCATCCCCTCATCTATAGACAATCAGCTCTTCATATCCATTAGTTCTGCCTCTTCAGATTCAAGCATCACAGATACAAAATATTCAATAGCACTGAACATATTTGGACTTTCCCTTGTCCTTATTTCCTAAACAACTACATTTATAGTGCATTAGGTGTTAGAATGTGGAAAAATGATTTACGAGTATATAGGAAGATGAATACAGAGAGTCAATCGTAACAGAGATAATCAGGGAGGACTGGTGTGAGAATTAACCTAGATAAGGCTTGTGGTGCCTTAGCTCCTTTAATGATTCCACCAGTCACTGATTAGAACACAGACCCATTGGGGAAAGGGGGCTACCGGCTTAAAGGAGACTAGGACACAGAAAGGCAGCTGTCATCCCGCTGCTCAGTTCCACATTACAGCAGTCATGGCAGCTGTGGAGACATGGCAGCTATGTCTGGCACAGTGATGACTGTAAGATGCAGCAATACAGTATCTGCTCTAGACAGGATTCTGGCCTAAATTCATTCCTGAGATCTACCTCTGCTTGGGCTTTGCTGACTCCCTGGTGCTTGTCTATGTGTTGGCTAATACACTAGTAAATGAGTATGTGAAAGGGACTTTTCTGCTTCTAAGAGGAAACTTGTATGTATATGTGTACAAGTGTTTGCCTACATGTGGAAACAAATGTGTGCAGGTGCACACTAACATGCATACCTGCATAGATGTGGAGCCATCTGTGGTTGATGTCAGGTGTCTTCTTCCATCATTCTTTACCTTATATATTGAGGTAGGGTCATTTGCTGAACCCATATATAGCCAATTTCAGCTCATCTAGCTATCCACCTTGCCACAGAGGAGCCTGACTCCCCAGTGGTAGGATTACAAATGTGTTGCCATGTCCACCATATTTTTACCTGGGTGCTGAGGATCTGAACTATGTTCCTTATGCTTATGCAATAAGCATTTTATTCACTGATCCATCTCCTTGGCTCTCTTAGGAGGAAAATTGACAAAAGAAAAGAGGCTAGATTCTATGTTAGGCCAAAACATATTGACATCTTCCCACAAATCAAGCTGTTTGGTAGAGAAAGATGGGAGTTTACCTCAGTATGATCACTCTATTGGGAAACTCTCCCATGCCTACAGATCCCTGCTTAATTACCATATTCACCTGCCTGTAGTAGCCATGACCCCACACTTAAACGTAGCCTCTTGCCATGCATAAAAAGAAATGGCACAAATCAAGCCTGAATCCTGCAAATCTTATAGAAAGCCCAAGCACCTAACTGCTACCAGTTCTCAGGGAAGCTGTTTGTCCTAGAGTCCTTCTTATCCTTAGCTAAGCTATATGAGCAACACACTGGTTAAGATGCCATTCTTCTTTGAATGTTTTCAAAGCTCCTTCAGTTAGAGAACACTAAGAAGGTTCTTAGTCCAGTGTTTGAGTTCTGACTGTGTCACTCAGAAGTTCTGAGGCTTTGGGAAGGTAACTAACTTTCAAGCCTGTTTCCTCATCTGTAAAATGGGAATAACAGTCCTAATGCCATGCTATGGAGAATTAAGAGTAAACCTTACAATCTATGTGAGGGCCATTTTCCAGGATGATTGTTGGGCAGACATGATGGCTCATATTTGTCTACTCATTCAGTACAGTTGAGACTCATTCTTTCTTACTTTCCTGCCCAATGGGTACATTCATCAAAAGGGGTGGAGATGGGAAAGCATAACCTGTGATAAATGTAGAAAATTATCCTCAAACTTCTTCTCTTCTCCTATCCAGTGTGGCTTTGGCAAAAGAGGATGTCAAATCTGGGCCCAAAGGGTCCCAGCCCATGTCCCCCTCTGATTTCTTGGATAAGCTTATGGGACGGACATCTGGATATGATGCCAGGATTAGGCCCAATTTCAAAGGTAAGAAACATCCATCTACTAAATCCTCTCCATGCTTAATATTCTGGGTGGCACACTGCTTAGCCAGTATTTGGTGGGCATCCTTAAAGAAGGAGTCTAGAAATCCAAAGCTGCGTCTTATACCTCAGAAAGAGTCCCTCCTATTGCCTGAGGGTCCATGTAGCTGTCAGTCTTTTCCCAGCAGTGGCCGGATCTGAAGCTCAGAGAGGAATTTCTGGAACCTGCGCTCAGCTTTCTGGAATATCCTGCCAATGGGGCTGTGCTTTGCTATCCTTAGGCCCACCTGTGAATGTAACCTGCAACATCTTCATCAACAGTTTTGGCTCCGTCACTGAGACCACCATGGTAAGGGGGTCTTCCTATTCCCTACTTCCATTCCAGTGTGAAAGGAGAAGCTCACTAGATAGCAAGCATTTCCTTATTTCTTTTCTCTTGTCCTCTTCCTGCTCTGTGATCACAGCTTAAGCCACGGGACATTTGAATTGATGACTGAGAGGTCACTGTTAGTCCAGGGTTGTCCTAGCTAAATGCAAACAATCTAAGAACAGTTCATCAAATATGTGAAGTAACCCAATGCAGACCATGGGCTTTTGAATCAGAAAAACCTGAGTTCAAATTCTAATTCTGCCACCCAACAGTTATGTTAACCAGTTTGACTTCAACCTTTCCTGGTCTTTGTTATCCATATGCAAAATACAGATCACAAAACCATTCCCCATGCAAGATGAAAAGTGTGAATAAAATGATGCAGGTGAAGAAAGCACTTAGAGCTGAGGATGTAGCTCAGTGATACAGTATTTGCCTAGCATGCTGAGAACCTGGGTTCAATCCCCATTTCTACAAAAAAGCACTTAGCAGAGAGTCTTGCACATAGTAGTTAATTAAATAAATGTATTTTCCCTTCCTATCTTTGTCATATTTGGCCAAAGTGGGCTTACTCCACTGGCAAATATCTACTGCCCCAATATGCATCTCCAGCATTTCCTCCTTGTGAACCTTCTGTTCATGTTGGTTTTACTGGGCTCCTGGGAAAAGCACTGTCTACAATAGGCTCCCCTCTCTACCCTTCCAGGACTACCGAGTAAATGTCTTCTTGCGGCAACAGTGGAATGACCCACGTCTGGCCTACCGAGAATATCCTGATGACTCTCTGGACCTAGACCCCTCCATGCTCGATTCTATCTGGAAGCCAGACCTATTCTTTGCCAACGAGAAAGGGGCCAACTTCCATGAGGTGACCACAGACAACAAATTACTACGCATCTTCAAGAATGGGAATGTGCTCTACAGCATCAGGTGCTCCTAGTATATACAAGGGGATTTTGTATCAAAAGAAGTAGCCAGGTGGAGATAGGATGGGGAGATGGTTCATGTTATACAATGTAGTACCCCAGTAAACTGATACCATTACTTTTTTTTTTACTACTCCTACCAGATTGACCCTCATTTTGTCCTGCCCAATGGACCTCAAGAACTTCCCAATGGACATCCAGACATGCACAATGCAACTGGAAAGCTGTAAGTGTCTCTAGTTAATCACAAAGCAAGGCCTGGATTAACAGCTAGTTAATATCCTCCAATGATACTTCAGACAGGAGAGGGACTTGCCCAAGCACACACAATCACTTCTTGTCATAGATGAGACTAGAAGCCAAGGTTCCCTGACAACTAGCCAAGTGAGGTTTTTGTGTTCCCATATTAGTTGCTGGGCTGACTATTCCATAGAGCTAGGAATATAATGACTCCCAGCCTTATACAGATGCACTTGCGCTAGCCATCGGGCACTATCTGAGGTGCATCCTCTGTTCTAATTTCTTCCCGCAGTCCCTAATGTAGCTTTACCCCTACTCTCCCCGAATTAAGACACTGAAAATGCCCGTGTGTGTGTGTGTGTGTGTGTGTGTGTGTGTGTGTGTGTGTGTGTGTGTGAGTGTTGGGTAAGATGGAGGTACCCTTGGAACTCTGATTCTTCATGAATACAAATAGTGATTACAGAGAATGAGAGGCAGCTTCAGGCATACATAGCACAGTGCCTAGAGAGGTGAAGTCAGCCAAGGTCATCTATGGCAAAGGTGTCAACATACACGGCTGGAAAATGGGCAGAAAAGCCAATGGATGGCAAGGATGGCTCATGATTTACTCGCACTCTTGACCTGCATGAGGTGAAACAGATCAGGACACATCCCTCAGAGAAGAAGGCTTGTTGCATTGTTTCTAGCACATGGAAACAGTGATGCAAAGAAAGTGCCCTGTGGTCCACCCTTTCAAATTCACATACCACCTTCACAGGCAGGTTCCCATTATCCCTCACAACTTTGAAACTTGGCAGAGCAGCATCCACTAGCCTCATTTGACAGAAGAGCAGATGACTCACCTGAAGTCACAGCTACAGTAGATCTTAAAGTAGATTCTGTACATCTAAGTCTCCCCTTACATGTGAGAATGTGGTCATGTCTATGACATGAGCCTTCACGAACTGCAAGTAACCTATGAGAAACTAGGCAAGATCAGCTATTAAGTCTGAATTTTTTCCAATTCAAGTCCCTGGCTAGAAGTCTGTCATATACTCATTGTCCCATGCATGACTGGAAGGACAGAAATAGCTCTCTTCCCTGAGGTGAAATGGCAGAAGCCCTGGCTCTAAGGCTCAGCTCGGGACATGTGGTGACTACACATGCTTACTCCTCTGGGTTTAAGAAGTGTCAGGAGGTTCCCAGCTGGGGTCCTTGACATCTTTCCAAACTTCCATCTTAAATCTGTCAGAGTAATTTCTCTCTAGACATTTACCAAGCTTGAGACCTACACAGTAGTGTAGGATCTTTCTGACTTTCTCATTTAGTTTAAGCCCGTGAGACAATTGAGGAAATTCTCTTTTCAGAAACATTCTCGTTTCCAAGATTTACTGTGCCATTTCTAAACCCCAAACCTTGCTCAACTATACACCCTTGTTAACTTAAAATCCACTTCTACCCTCACCCCAAATGCCACTCTGAAGCTCTTTCATATCTCTGTCACTTGCAGTTGGCTACACCATGAATGACCTCGTGTTCGAGTGGTTAGAAGATGCTCCTGCTGTCCAAGTGGCCGAGGGGTTGACACTTCCCCAATTTATCTTGCGGGATGAGAAAGATCTAGGATATTGCACCAAGCATTACAACACAGGTAAGGATCAGGCAGATCTTTATTGCTTATGAGACACTAGAGGGTCTCAAAGAGGGACAAGGGTAAAAGGCACCAGGTCTCACTAGAATAGAGGAGATATGATGCTGCATGCTTCCTATACCTTATTTCATCATGAAAGAGGCTATCAGCATCACTTTCATACAAAACGGATAGGGAAATGGATCACCAGGTAAACTGACAACCTGAGTTTAATTCCCAGAACCTACATGGTAGAAGGACAGTACTGACTACCACAAGTTGTCCTCTGACTGCCACATGTATTATGACAAGCTCATACACAAGTTCATGGAAAAAATGCATACGTATAAAATAAATTTTAAAGAAAGGTATGAGGGACAGACTTTAAATCAGTTGTTCCATAGTTAACAGATGTCAAATTTATAATTCAAATCCATATCTGACCCCAAAGCCCATGTTTATATTACTCTCATAAGCTGCAGAGTAAATACCTGTGTTTCCTTTTTCCTAGGGCCAATTTTGTGTGAAAGCTGGGAAATTTACACTTAGTAGTTGTTAATAGCCATTCTCAAATAGAGAGGAAAGAGCATGAGGGAGCAGGCAGCTGACCAGGCACACTTTCCTACTCATCTCCATGGCCTGGCTCTCCTGACCTAACTTTTCTTCCTGAATGTGGAGCATGGGAAATGGAGAGGAACTGTTTTTCATAAAGTGACAGCTCAATCCTTCAGCTTTCCTAAGAATTGCTAGTTCCTCATATCCTTTAGCGACTGAGCTGTGTGGGAGTAGAGGAAGAACAGTTCCTTGAATTGAGAAACTACACCTGGGAGTAGAAATTAGCAGAGACTTGAGAGGGAGAATGGCAATTTGTATGCAGGTGAATTGTTTTCAAGCTTTTGTATTCAATATATTTGCCTGGGGAGTCTTAAAAACACTGATTCTTAGGCTAGAACTCTCTGAGACTCTAATCACATATACTAGAGGAAATGCCTAGAAATTTGCATGTTAACATGTATCATGAAACTTATGATGCAGATAGTTCAGAAAACACTGTATTTTGACAACCATTAGTCTAGAACCAATTTTTTTTAGCAGTGGTAACTTGTTTATTTTATTTTACATATCAACCCCAGCTCCCTCTCTCCCTCTCTCCCTCCTATCCTTCCCCCTCCATCCAATGTCCCACCACCACCCTCCCATCCCATTCCCCCCTCACTCCACAGGGAGGATGACACCTTCCAGGAGGGGGTTAACAAAATCTATCAAGTCATTTGGAGTAGGGTCTAGGCCCTCCCTCCTGCCTCCTCTAGGTTAAGGAAGTATCCCTCCATGGAGAATGTGATCCCAAAGTCCTTTCATGCACTAGGGATGCATCCTGGTTGCACTGTCAGAGGTCCCTTAGACTACCCAGGCCTTCTAACTGAGACCCACATTCAGGGGTCTGAGTAGGTCCAATGCTGGTTTCCCAGCTATCAGTCTAGGGGGGTCCATTAGCTCCTCCTTGTTCAGGTCAGCTGTCTCTGTGGGTTTCTGTAGCCTGGTCTTGTCCTCCCTCTTTGCATATGGATTCCAGTTTGGCTCAGTGTTTAGTTGTGGGTGTCTGCTTTTGTTTCCATCTTCTACTAGATGAGGGCTCCATGATGGTGGATAAGTTAGTCGTTGATCTCATTATCAGGGAAGGGCATTTATGGTAGACTTTGCACTGTTGCTCAAATTGTTAGCTGGGGTCAGTCTTCTAGGTCTCTGGACATTTCTCTAGAGTCAGTTTTCTATTCAAACCTATAATGGCTCCCTCTTTTATGTTTTCTCTCTCTCCTCTCGTCTATTCCTCCCCTGACTCATTATTCCTAGTCCCATGTGCTTTCCTCCCCTCCCCTTCTTTTCTATTACCTCTCTCTCCACTCACTGCCCAGCCCCCCGCCACTCGCAATATGCTCAGGAGATCTTGTCCCTTCCCCCTTCTGTGAGGGACCTTATATGAATCTCTTAGAATCCTTCTTGTATCCTAGTTTCTCTGGTGGTGTGAATTATAGGCTGGTGATCCTTTGCTCTATGTGTAAAACGCATATATGAGTGAGTACATACCATGTTCCTCTTTTGTGACTGGGTTATCTCATTCAGGATAGTTTCTTCAAGTTCCATCCACTTGCCTGCGAATTTCAAGATTCCATTGGCTTTTTTCTGCAGAGTAGTATTCCATTGTATAAATGTGCCACATCTTCTTTATCCATTCTTCAGTTGAGGGGCATCTAGATTGCTTCTGGGTTCTTCTATTACAAATAATGCTGCTATGAACATAGTTGAACAGATGTCTTTCTTGCATGGATGTGGATCATTTGAGTATATGCCTAAGAGAGGGATTGCCAGGTCCTGTGGTAGATTGAGTCCCATTTTCCTGAGGAACTGCCATACTGATCTTGAAAATGGCTGTACACGTTTGCACTTCCACCAGCAGTGGAGGAGTGTTCCTCTTTCTCCACATCCTCTCCAGCATAAGTTATCATTGGTGCTTCTATTTTAGTCATTCTGGCAGGAGTAAGATGGTATTTCAGAGTTGTTTTGATTTGCATTTCCCTGATAGCTAAGGATGTTGAACACTTTCTTAAGTGCCTTTCACCTTTTTTTATTTCTTCTATTGAGAATTCTTTCTTCAGTTCTGTAACCCATTTTTTAATAGGGTTATTTGGTGTTTTGGTGACTAGTTTCTTGAGTTCTTTGTATATTTTGGAGATCAGCCCTTTGTCAGATGCAGGATTGGTGAAGATCTTTTCCCAGTCTGTGGGCTGCCGTTTGGTCTTGTCAACTGTGTCCTTTGCCTTACAGAAGCTTCTAAGTTTGTGGAGGTCCCATTTATTAATTGTCGATATCAGTGTCTGTGCTCCTGGAGTTATGTTCGGGAAGTTGTCTCCTGTACCAGTTTCTTCAAGGGTACCTCCCACTTTATCTTCTAAGAGGTTCAGTGTGGCTGGATTTATGTTCAAGTCTTTGATCCATTTGAACTTGAGTTTTGTGCATAGTGATAGACATGGGTTGATCTGTAGTTAGAAGCTATTTTTTAAACCTACTTATTCATACAGTAATTCCATCCTTAGAATGTATTTGAAGAGAATATCACAAAAGAGCTTGTTGGCTTTAGTCACTAAGGGTTTTCTGTCACTATTTATACTAACAAAAACTTGAAATTGTTCTAAATCTCCACCCATATGGCAGAAGTAAACAGTGTGCCTACTTGGTGAAATAGTATGCTGTCATGAACATGATACTCTCATGGTTTTTATATCTTCACGGGAAAGTATAAATTAAAAAAGGAATACAGTTCAATGTCATATACAGTGCATGACTATACTGTGATTAAAAAAAGCAAAAATATATTTAAAGTCTCTGAAAGGAAGTACCACTAGTAAATATTTCTAAAGTAGTGTGATACAATGTATAAAGCAATAACTTTTCAGTAATATATGCCTGAGTTTAGAGTCTAGCTTCTTTATATACTAGTTTGGTACCCGTGGGACATATAGTTTAATGTCTTTATGCTTCTGTAGCCTTATCTGCAATATGGAAGATAATCATTTTACTCAACTCAAAAAGTGCTACAGGACTTAAAGTATTAAAATCCAGTTACGTAGTAGTGATTTGATAAATATGAGCGTAACGTTATTCCTTCTCTTCTCATTTTCCCACATTAAAAATGTTAATCCTATAATTAAAACCCATACTACTATTACAATAGAGAATGAAGGAAAACCTGGGAAGAAAATATAAATCCATAATAAAGGCATGTCACAGGAAGAAGCCTATGATGTTGAGTCAGACTCAGGAATGAGTAAGAGGTCATATTCATACAGCATGCCAAAGCCCCAAGCAGTAATAGTTCAAATCTCTGGTCTTGAGTAATCAGATAAGAGTTAAGCCTTAGTCAGAATAACATCAAAGCACAGAGTTGGCTCTCCATGTTCACATGTCCCATGCCCAAGGGTCCATCCAACCTCAGAACAAATGAATTAATTATAAATTTCATCTGTGCTGAACATAATACAGACTTTTCCTTATCATTAGTTCCTACAAAATCCAGTGTAACAACCATTGACACAGAACTTACATTGTGTTATACTGTAAGTAATTTAGAGCTGAAGAGATGGCATAGTGGGTAAATGAGTCAAGTTCAATTCCCAAGACTCACATGGTAGAAGGAGAGAACTAAATACTGAAAGCTGTCCTCTAACTTGAACATATATGCTGTGGTAAACACACGCACGCATGCGCACACACACGCACGCACACACACGCACATACACACACTCTTAAATGAATAATACAGACCTAGTTTAAAGTATATAGAAGGGTATGCATAACTTAAATGCAAATATGATGCTACTTGATATAAGGGATTTGAGTATCCATATATCTTAGTATCTGTGAGGGGGTTGTGAAAGCTATCTAGTGGACATTTGGAGATGGCTGTACAAATCTTCTGCTTTTCCCCTTGTGTCATCTATCCCAAGCCTCTGTTTTTTGAGAAAGGCTGTTAGTGAATGTTTCCTTAGCTTCAGAGCCATGGGAAGCAGGATAAATTAAGAAGGCTGGCATGCCAAAAGGAAGAACACCAATATGTGTGCCTAGAACCAATACATTTAATGGTGAAACAGAATAATGTTTCCTTTTACTCTATGGGAACCTGCTTGTCAGTATCCAGAGCTGATCTCTGTTACAAATCCTTTCTCATTATATACTAGCTTGTTCTACTCACTTGCTTAAGATACAGGGAGTGTTTATTCTAGCTGTTACTACAGATTCAGGGACATGAGCAAGTGCAAGGAAGGATAGTGAGATACAAATGAAGTCCAAACTAAGTCTTGCATAATAATTATTTAATGGTAGGAACAGCTACTATGTGCGGCACCTCAACTACAATATTTCATTTAAGTTTTCTAACATCCCAATGATGGACTTAATATAGTTTATTACTCTGCTTCCTAGGCAAGAAAACTGCTTCAAAAAGCTTGGGTGGAACTTGGTATGGTGGTACAGCAGAGAATTCCAAATGTGGTATCACCCTGGAATACCTAAAAAGACCTTATCTCAAAAACAAAAGGGATAACAAACAATCAAAAGGCTTGGGTGAATTATTCAAGATCACATAGCTATTAAATAAGAAGTTGAGATTCAGCCCCAGAGAGTCTGAGCCGGGAGCTTTTTTTCTCTTTATCCTATTTCTGTAATTGTTACTTGAAAGATCTTATGCTCTAAGGTAAAATTCCAGGAACAAGAAGGCAGTCTTTATGGCTGATGTGAGAGCTTTCATAGTATGGCATCTGGCATTACCTGGGGCCATTTTGAAAGTATCACTTATTGGCCAGCTGAGGATCCCAGAGGTTGGTTCAGCAGGGCTGCCCTATTCCTGACCCATACTCCCTCAGGCTAAGCTGCAGTCTGGGGACTCATTTCTTTTCTTACAGGAAAATTCACCTGCATAGAGGTAAAGTTTCACCTGGAGAGGCAGATGGGCTACTATCTGATTCAGATGTACATTCCTAGCCTACTCATTGTCATCCTGTCCTGGGTCTCCTTCTGGATCAACATGGATGCTGCCCCTGCCCGTGTAGGCCTCGGCATCACTACTGTCCTCACCATGACTACCCAGAGCTCTGGATCCAGGGCCTCTTTGCCTAAGGTGAAAAGATATGCAAGAGAACCTGGTGACATCAAGCCCCTATTTCACATTCATTGCATGCTCCCAGTAGTGCTATTCCCTCTTTACCCTGGATTTAAGGTTGTAACTATGGCTAAGCAATAGTTGGCATCCAATATTTCATCTTCTCCATAGCCTACTATTAATAACTACATAATAATGCGAATGATGCTGGCTACGGAATGAGCAGAGACAGTGCCTTACTTAATTTTCTTTGGGAAATACTAGTATGCTCAATATCAAACGACCCTTATCACAATAGAAAGCTCCATTCTCTCATAGTACTGATGAGAATGAATATCATAGAGGTAAAATGGCCTCTTCAAGGTCAACCCTGACCAGAAACAACCAAAGAAGTAGAATTTTGAACCAAATTCTGTCTTCTTTAACAAGTAAGGTACTGTTACAAAATGCTCTAAATATAGTGTTTATTTGGGGGGGAGGAGAATATTTTGAGGCTGCAAATATAATAGCAATTAAAGACAGTAGACACTCATCATCTGGGGCCTGTTAATGTTTTGACTATGCAGAAAAATTTGTGCTGATGGGACTAAGAACAGTTCTCCCTGCATCGTGTATTCATGTAGGGAATTTAAAGGTCACCTAAAAGTCCTTATCACCAGCAGGGCTCTGAGAAAATCAGGGAGTGAGGACATTTTTTTCATTCAACAAATATTTTTTGAATGTGTACTATGTACCAGGTACCTTGCTCATGGAAGAACAATGAATCGTGCCTTGAACATATTCCCTCTTATTCTGATTTGTTGGGAGCCCTGAGAAAGGCTATCTCTCTTTGGTTGTTCCAAATAAGATTTTCTTATTGGATACTTAAGCAGGGTGTAATATGGATACTGATGGCATGTTCATGAAATTGTTGTAGGGAAATTTAAGTGTAGGAGAATTTAGGTTAAAATCCCAGCCTCATTATTTACTAGTAGTATGACCTTGAGTAAATTGTCTCTCTGTTGTTTGTCTTGCCTATAAAATGAAACTAAGAATTATTCCCCCCACTCCATGGGGTTATTGTGAAAAATAAATTATGTATTAACACACAAGGACAGTGTTTGGCACATAATAATTGCTCAATACATGCTAATTACTTTTATAATTATCATGTGCCAGAGTTAAAAAGAATAAGTACTAGATCTGGGAATAAAGCAGATGGTATTTCCCCTACTGGTTTTTCATTTTCTAGGAAACCTTTGAGTTACTCCAAAGCCCCCTTTAGAGACAAACAGAGAACAGGTTCAGATTGGGATCAAACACCTGAGAAGAAGTTGTCAGGGATCCCTTTCTGTATGTATTTCCTAAGTGGACTGGGGTATTAATGAGGATACAGAGGTAGCCTATCCCCAGAGGAGAGCCACAGGGTCAGTCTGGGGCATGATACTTACATTATTATAACAGCCTTATATGGGGATCACTATGTCAAGAGCCCTGTCCCATTTTTTTCTCTGTTAAGTAAGAAGATTTTTCATATCGCAGGAAGATACTACAATTATGCATTCTTTTGAAGAGAATTTCCTTTCTGGTTCCCCGTGTGGGTGAGCACAATCCAATTTCTCTTAGGTATCAGTTTCCTCATTTAGAAAAATGGACTTTGTTAAGAAGTTATTTGCTTGCAACACTTAGTACCTTCTTGTCATATTTTCATGACTTTTGAATAGCCTCATTGGCTAGTAAGCAGAATATTCAGGTATGTACCCTCAAATTAAGTCTTGCCTCCTACATTCATAGAGTAAAGGAATCAGCAAGCCAAGGCTTGTTTGCTCCTGAGTTTGTACAACATTAGGGTTCCTTGAGGGTGTAAGGAAGGAGATAAGGCCAAGCCAGAGGCATCTGATAGCAACACCATTCCCACCCAAAACAAAACTCTACTATCTAGGATGAGAGTACAAGAGATTGGGAACCCAGAGTAGTCTTTCTCCATAGTCTCTGGAAACCATTACTTCATGGCCTTGTGCAATACCGTGAGGGCATGGATTTCCACTCTTTGCTAGGTTCTTGATCTCCATAGCTGCAAGAGGAAAAGTTTCAAGATAAGATATAAAGTTGCACTAGGGAGGAAGGATAAAATTCTCTCTATCTTCCCCTTAGCTCATGAGGCAAAGAAAGGAAAAAGAAGCAGAGACAGCAAGTAGGAGCCCATTGCTAAATCCACTCATTCAAAAACTACTTACTGTGTGCCAAGTGCTCAGGTATTGGGGATAGAACACTGAAGACTATGAAAATAGTTCCTGACACAGAAAAGCTCAGGTAGTGGAAGTATTAGTCAGGTATGTGATGGATGCTAAAGAGGTATGGGTAAGCCAGTACATAATAGAAGGAAAACACACAGGAGGATGATTAGGAAAGACCTAAACAATAGTTTATCTAATGTGGAAGCTGAAGAATAAGAACCCTAAATCAGAGGGAGGAGACTGGCTTTCTTTAGAAACACTGAAATATTTCACTGTGGCAGGATCATAGATTGTAAGGGGTATAGTGAGGCTGAAGAGGTAGCCAGAGGTCAAAAGCCATGATAAGTGTAACATACCTAGATCACAAGGGTAATAGAGGACCTCCAAAGGGTTATATGGGGGGGTGATATGATCACAGGGATCATTTTAAAAAGTATTAATGACACATTTATCACTAACAAGCCATAAGTACATAAAGTGCACTTTTCATTAATAGTCTAAAGCCTTCATGACTATCCCTTATCACTCATTACTATCTTCACAGCAGGTATTTCAAATACCTAAGAGCCCAGTGGGCCTGGATGGTAGACAGTTAAATGTAATGCCTTCTTCATAGGTGGTGAAGTGGAGACATCACCAAGGAATTATTAATAGGAGTTATCCAGTAACCCACTACTACAGTCTTTGAGTGGAACTGCCCAGAAATGAAAGCAGGGTTTGCCAACTTTAACACATCAGTTGGAGCAGATAATTCTAGTGGGTATATGTTTTAAAGGGAGGAACTGCACACACTTTAGGATGCATTACAACATCTTTTTTTCCCTACCTACCCATGACACACCAGTAGCTATCACCATTCTAAAATCATATTGCCAAAAAATTTGGTAAACACTGCTAAATGCTCTGGTGGGTGGAGCAGGGTTTTTTTTTCCAGTTAAGAATCACTAAGATGGAAGGTTAGAGATACAGCTTATTGGTAACATACTATGCCCTTAATGCATGAGGTCATGGGTTCAATAAAACCTTTCCCTTACCCTGGATCTGAGCACTCTCAGTGCCCTATAATGCAGAAGCTGATAAAAAGAAATCACTTTTCACAAGTCCGACTCCTGACAGGAAGCTCTATGGAGTGAGCTCAAAACTGCACAGGGAATCCCTCTGGTTAAGGAAGTGAGAGAACCTCAGTAGTCAGAAGTTCTGTTCCTCCTCTTAGACCCACCTAGCTGTACCATGTTCCTGGAGAGGTTGGTGTTCAACCGTTACCAGGGAAGTGGAAGACAAATGCTCTTCAAAGCTGCCCAAGGCAGGTATTAAGAAGAGCACAGTAGGAACCAGATGGATGGACACCAAGGTGCCTTGCAATTACTGAAGTGTCATGACAAGGGCTAGGTGGCACTTTCTCAGGATGCTGCCATTCTCTCCAAGGTGGGAGATGCAGCCTTAGCTTACCATTGCACTCCATCCCTCAGCAGTGACTCCTGAAAAGGCAGCCAAAAACTTCACAGGATCAACAGGAGAATAGGAATGCAGGAACTCCTCATAGTCTGCCAGTGAGGCTATAACCTAGGTAAATGGCAAGGTTTGAAAGCTCAGGACCTCCCAGTTCTAATACTACCTTCTAACTAAGTGATCTCTGCTAAGACCCTTAAATGTCCCCACACACCTCACATGGGAATTGTGAGCCTTCCCTAATTATCACTGTGGCTATAAGAAACCCAGGGGATACGAGAGGGCAAAGAAATACGATTTTGATTATTGGTATTCACTGAAAGGGAAGAAGCAAAAGGTGAAACAGGAAAGCAAGAAGACTAAATAAAGGAAATGAAGAGTAGGGGATAAGGCTGATAAAGGCAGAGGGTGGAGATGGCTGTGAGCTAAAGGATGAGGAGTAGCCTGTCTCTTTGACACATGCCTTCAGATAAACATATATGTCCTGACAGCTTGTTTAAAACCCCAGAAGTTTCAGAATAAAAATGAACAAGCAATTGATATGGACTGGAAATCCATTGGACAGTCCATGGAAGGGCTCCAGAAACGTAACTGCTCTGTTGTACTACAGGTATCCTATGTGAAAGCGATTGACATCTGGATGGCTGTATGCCTGCTCTTTGTATTTGCTGCCTTGCTTGAGTATGCTGCAGTCAATTTTGTCTCCCGTCAGCACAAGGAATTTATGAGACTTCGTAGAAGGCAGAGACGGCAACGCATGGTGAGTGCCAACAGGGAGGGTTTCATTTCCTTTCTCTTTTGGACTCCTTCCTCCCTATTACTTCTCCCACAAACTGAGTCTCAATCCAGGGCTCAGTACAGGGCAATCAGGAATCCTAGATTCTAGTCCCAGTCTGGTGACAGTGAATTCAAGGTCAGCTTAGTCTACATAGCAAGTTCCAGGACAGTCAGGACTACATATAGAATGTCTCAAAAAACAAACACACAAACAAAAACATATTTACCAGTATGAGAACCTTGTTGACTTAGCACAAATGCTAATGCTTTGAGAAGTAACTATAGGGTAAAAGGGCCAGCCAAAAAAACACACCCTGACCCTGAAACCAGAGCCAAAAGGCTAAAAGGAACCAGTGAGAGAAACTGACTTTGGCCCGGAAACCAGAGCCAAAGAAACACACTCTGTCCCTGAGCAACTCAGCACGAAACCAAACAATACCTGAGCATGAAACCCAGCCAAGCTCAGAACTTGTCAAAGCTCAGGAGTTGAAATCTGGCCAATTCCTACCCTGAAAAATCTTCACCCTGGAAAAACTCCACCCCTAAGAAGCCCTACAAGCCCTGTGCCTGTTCAATTGGGAGTTGCCTTTTTCCATACTGGCAGAGGCAGCCACCTCCTAGATTCTTCCCTGCCAATAAATCTCATTTGCTGGAATGGAGTGGAGGAGAGAAGCAACAACCTTAGCAGGGGACAGAGCAGAGCAGACCTGTAAAAGTTCACTGGGGAAAGCCTCCCCTGCTGGGTTGTTACATTGTGGAAACCTTTTCCTGGAGAAGGGCTGCAGGCTACTACATTTATGGTGACTTTATGATATTTCTGGGCTCCTAACTGCCAGGATCCCTTTCCATCTGAGCTGCGGTGTTTACAGTAATAATAGTTGTTTCTGGTTTTCCTCACATCAAGAAGGAAGTTACTCCAAGTTGTCCTACTGGTAAGAAGTCAGAGTCAGGTACTACTATCTTTCAAGAGAAGCACTGAAGGTGGCCCCCATGTGTGAACTGAAATTGAAAGATCACCATTTGCCTCTTCTGACTGGTGGAAATTGTCCTGATCTTCCTCAGGAATTTCTCATTTGTTAGGCTTGAGGTGGTATTTGGCCTCACTCTTGTTTTTTAGCCCCATTTCTTCCATAGCAGAGTGATCACCAAGGGCAGATACAAGAGGAAGTTGTCATGACAACAGAAGCAGTTTTCCCTCAATTGCCCAGACAATAGGAGCTAGGTAAGTTGTCATGACAACAGAGGTGCCTGGGCTACCCAGAGAAAAACAAGCTCTAATTATGGCAAAGCTGAAGGCCTTGCTACTAGTTGCTTAATCTTTAGAGACACAATGTCTTTTTTTTTTCTGCCTAATCCAGAGGCTTCAAAATCAAAAGGCCAAGCACATAATTACTTTTAGAGGACAGAAAACAAATTACCTGACCCCACTGTTAAAAATCTTGACTCTTGGGGGCATTGGATGAAGCTCAGTGGCAGAGTGCTTACTGAGTGTATATATAAATCTTGGGTTAGATCCATAGTAACAGACAGACAGACACACACACACACACACACACACACAGAGAGAGAGAGAGATAGAGAGAGAGAGAGAGAGAGAGAGAGAAATTCTGACTCTGACCTGAGACCTACTAACACCTCAGCTGCTCCTGAAGCACCCTACCACTTGACTTCCACACAAACTGCATGATTTCACTCCCCCCCCCCCCCAGGAAGTCGGGGCTCTTATGTCATGTAGATTTTTTGGAATACCAATTCTTTGCTCTTTAGTTCCTTCATGATTCCTAAATAGTGAGCCCTCTAGTGGATGGATCCACAACTGCATCTCTTTGAATAAGATTCTTCCAAAGACCTGCCTGCCTAAGACTTCCTGCCTCAGTGGTGATTAGGAAAACACATACAGAGTTAGCAGAGGGAAGGAAAACAGGATTTCCTCTTTTCTAAAATAACTATATAGGCCTCTTCTTCAGCTGTGTAAAATCATCTGCAGATACCAAAATCTTAGATACATAAGAGGTTATGATTTTGATTTTTTTCCGAGGAAAGAAGAGCAGGTCATCAAATAATCCAGAGTCCCTTTTCTACCTAAAATGCTTGTGTTGATGTCCAAATAACAAAGATTACTACAGTTCCTACAGAGCTACTCAGCTTGACCTAAGTCCCATCCCCTACCCTGTATTCATCCAAAAAGCTCCTGTGCACATACTGTCTGCTCGTGTTTACAGGCAGGTTGGCTATGAGCTTGTAATGGAGTGAGTCACAGTATTCAGTTATTACAGTTACTTAGCAGTAGCTTGATGCTTACTTAGGACTTGCCTAAATGTGGACCATAGCTTACTATTAATGTGAATAAAACCTGAAAACCAAATCTGTGCTGTTAATTATATCCTTTTCTTGAGTTTCCTAAAGCTAATGCAACCCCAGTGGGACTATCCAGGAATCCTGGAGGCCCTAAACTGGCTAAACAAGTTCATAGGAGCCACACTTGTCTGGAACCTTTTTTAAGTCTTTGATGTTCTAGTAAAAGAACTAGAAACCTTTAGTTTGAAAAAACCCAATAGGAAAAGAAAGAAATACACTTCTTGGGAGCCCAGAATCAAGATCAAGATAGGGTTCTTTAGGAGCCTGCCAACTCTCCACCCAGCTCTCTGGCTCATCATTTTCTTTCTAATCTCTTCTCTTAATCAGTCTCCCCTGCATTATGGCCTTCTCCAGCAGCACTGCCTAAAATAATGGGCGTTTTTGATGTGCTTCTGCTTTGTCTTCCCAGATGGTCTAAATGATTCAGAGGAAAGGGTAAAGCCCTTTTTCTCATCATCCCTGCAGGGTTAGCCCCTGGCTCTGAACACAGCAGTCAAAGGCAAAGGCTGTCAAACTGGATAGACAAAACTGCTGGCTATTATTAATACAGTAACTTGAGAACTAGAAAAATTACAAAATACTAGCAAAATCCTCTCAGGGACTTACCTTCAGAACCTTGCTCACCTCTCTATCTTCCACTGACTACTCTACCTATCTCCAATTTCCTTTTTTCCTGCCTGTCCCCCTTGAATATCCATCACTCTTTCTCATCTTCATACCCTACCTTCTCCATTGGGCATTTATTTCCTAGGTTGCCTTGAGTACAGCTTCCTCTCAGCACTCTGAATAACCATGGAAATCACAAAGTAATATTTAATGGTACATTGTCCCTCCTAAACACATATACAAACACTCATCACACAGAATTCGTCTTAATTATCTAATATTCAAACCCCTTTATCCTTGAATTTTAGGCTACTTATCTTTGCTGGCCAGCCTTAAAAGGTACATATTAAAATTAAAAAGAGCCAAGGGCAGCTACTTTACTGGATATATTTTCTCTTCTGTATGGAATTACTTTTTCTAGCCAGAGAAATAGTTCCAAATAGTTTCCCTCAGATTTACTGGGTAAAAGGAGAAATAGAATTTATAAAAACAAAAATGGCATCTGGATCTAACTTCCTCCTTTAGAAATTTTTTTCTTAACACCTGTATTCTGTAGTTGTATTATCAACTTGGGGGGGGCTAGGTGAAGAGTGCAGTATGGGGGTCCTGAACTGGAAAGGTAGGAAGATTTGTTTTTTAACTTTACTTACCCATCTCATTTTTCAATTCCTTCTGAGATACTTTTCTTGCCTCTGGTTCTTTATCTATAAAATGGACCCGACAAACTTCTCCTATAGAAAAAGTGTGAAAATTAATTACAGAATGCATGTGAGATGAATCAAGATCTTTGATAAAAAGAGGCTAAAAGGATAGGTAAGCAAAGCCTTCAGGCTGCCAAACTGTACCAGTTCCAAATTGAAGAGCAAGATAGTGAACTGCCTCTGATACAGACACATACAACTCTCTGTGAAGATCCTGATAAATGAAGAACAACACAGCAAAGCTCTCTGGTGGGCAGACTTTATTTTTTTTCCTATGTTCAAAGTGCAGAAGCCAAAGGCTATTAAGACATTGTATAGTGGAGCAAACAGTACTTGGTTTCCTGCCAAGTATTTCATAACTGAGCAAGATTCTCTTCTGAGTGGACCATGACAAGATATTGGCATCACAAAAACAAAAAACCACTCCATTCCTTATATCCTGAAGCATGCGCTTTATCAAGCAAGTGGTTCATTCAACAGACATCCACTGCGTGTCTATTAGGTTCCAAGCTTGGTGCCTGTCACTGGGGATACAACAGTGAACAACTCTATATATGAAATAACACATGGCAGAAGAAGGAATAGGGTTTATTTGTGAATTTCTGGCCTGAGTTTGTCCGCCACTGATGCCCAGTACCAGGCTTGCCCTCATAACAATTCCATTTTGGGTGACACAATAGTCAAGAGTTATATGACAAACCATACCAATATCTCATCTTCACAACAGTTTTTCAGTTGGGTTCTATAGCTTCAGAGTCCATGTAAAGATCCCACAATGTCCCTCGAATTGTGCAAACCGTTTAACACCTTCTTTGTGCACGTTACAGATACACATGTGACATACCCACACAGTGTGTGTGTGTGTGTGTATGTATATATCTTGTTCTGATAATTTATAGAACTACATCAGGTAACTAGGGTGACTTACTCTTCCTGTTTTACCTTGAACTTCTCCAGTGTTAGTGATGAAAGACTCTAGTCTCTGGGACCTCCTCAGTTCTGGGCAAACTTGAATTGGTAGGTGAAATCACACTATGAAAGGATATTTCATTTCAGGCAATCACTTAGCTGAAGCTTTTACTGCAGAGAAGTCAATACTTTTAATTTATAGAAATATCTTATATTTGAAGGACATATTTCTCGTATCTGCCCTAAAATGAGTAAATAGGGTAAATAAGTTCAGAGGCAGAGAGGCTGAGGGCTACTAACGCAAGTAAAACTCTTACAATTACTTCTTCTCTCTTTCTCCTTCTCCCCCTTCTATCTTTTATCTGTTTCTGCCCTTCCTGCTTCCCAGCTGTGTCATAGCTACTCAGGGTTATCAGCCAATGGTTGTATTGATAGACTTTCTGCTGCCTACACCATACTCCTTACTACTTACATAAAATGTACCTCCTCTCTGTTAATGTGTCTATGAAAAGGCATACATCTTAGAGGAATATAATACACATTGGGTAATAGGTGTTACTGTAGATTTACTGATTCCCTTCTCAGAACAGCTAATGTGTAAAGAAATATGCAGGTCCTCATAAGAGTGGTCAACTTTAAGCTACTTTGCCTAGCTCACTTGGTCATTTAAAACGTTTAGAATTCTTAACTTTAAGTCAAAATCATGTTTTAAAACTACTATATGCAAAACAAACTAATTCTAAAGCTTTCTAAATTCATTAAAGTTAATTCTACCGAGCCAAAATATCTCAGTTTCACTGCCTGGTGGGTGGTTGTTTTTCTATTTACCTGTCAGAAATAATATGACATTGAGATGTTGACACTTTGGTGGATTTTAGATGACTCCAAATGATACTACACATTTTCAAAAGGTGTGTCTCTAAATTAAATCATATCACTTATGTACACATATAGCTGCTAGCATATACGTATATATATGTATTTTTAAAATAGCTTTGTGATCAACAAAAAGCATGTAGTCAGCCATTTGCCCGTATTACATTGGATTTGAGACATTTATGTGTGGTCTGGCTTTTACTCTGGCCTCAAATACTACCTTTTATCTCTTGCAATTCTAGGAAGAAGATATCATACGAGAAAGCCGCTTCTATTTTCGTGGCTATGGCTTAGGACACTGTCTACAAGCAAGGGATGGAGGTCCAATGGAAGGATCAAGCATTTATAATCCCCAACCTCCAGCCCCTCTTCGAAAGGAGGGAGAAACCATGAGGAAACTATATGTGGACCAAGCCAAGAGAATTGACACCATTTCCAGGGCTGTCTTCCCCTTTACTTTTCTTGTATTCAATATCTTCTATTGGGTTGTCTATAAAGTTCTAAGGTCAGAAGATATCCACCAGGCACTGTGACTATGGTAGAGGCTAAAATGTATAGCTCACTATGGTAGAGGCTATAATGTATAGCTGCTGGCTTCCTGCTTTCACCCAGATGGGCTTTTCTCCCTTCCATCAAACCCTATTGGGAGCTTAAACAGTTCCTGCTTGACCTCCCACTCATAACTTCAATCATCACTTCCCAAACTATATGGGAACTGCCCAGTGCCAAAGGTAGCTATATTTACAAACATGGCTTATCTACTCAATCCATATTTACTGCTTACTCTGCCATCTCTCATTGTTTGTACATCTGCCTGATTCCAGAATGACTTTCTGCCATTACTGGGGATCCTCTCTGAAGAATATTTAGACAATATTTTGTCATCTTCATCTTTTCTACTTCCATTCAGAGCCTGCCCTTTATTCGGCACTTCTCTCCCTCGTACTCCAAGCTCAAATATGGAGTCCTTTGAGTCCATAAATACTGCTCTGAATGACCTAGTCAGATGCCCTTACTGATAGAAAGACAAAGGCACAGATTTCCCACCACTTAATTAGAATATGGCAGTCACAGGCTGCACTGGGCTAAGGCACTGGTATATGGGCCAACAGAGACAGGATCACTTCTAGAAAAGCTATTATTTTCTGAACTGGGGCAAGAACCTAGGAGTCTCAGAAAGTCTACCTTCCAGATCTACCTAAACTTCCTCATCCCAGATATATTTGTTCTAGTCCTTAATCAATTAGCATGGCCACAGGTTTTGTTATACTGCTTGGTAGGAGAAAGGAGGTGGGGGGTGGCTTATTCTTTAAGAAATTTACTTGCTGATCTAGGAAAAAGGAGATCAAAAGTACTAGAACCAAAAAAGAGTGGAATATAGAAACAATCTTTAGAGAAATTATTAAAGTTGTTTTTTCTTCTTTTTCTCCAAAGTCTCTATTTCCCAGGACTTCCTAACATTCTCCTGCCCCTCCTCTTGGCAAGAAATAATGACAGTGAAGACTTCAAAGTTCCTGAGGGGGAACTAGGCATGTAGAGGGTGTCTATATCTAGGCATCTAGAGAACTCAACCTACCTTGGGTAGTACTTGTACAAGTTGGACAACCATGTTTTGGGGGTGTTTCTTTAGCCTTTTTGTGCTTCCCTTTTTTTCTTCCACAGGATTCAGATAAGGCTACAAAAAAAGTCAGAAGAGAATAGGTTGGCATGTCACTGTGTCATAGGGATGCATGGGCTCGGTACAGTGAGTTCTTTGAAGTGATTTGACTGTGAAGCAAACAGAAATGAGATGAGAAAGATAAAAATGTGAGGATAGCCGTTAAAATACACAAACAACCTTTTAAAACACCGGGTCCTTTCTCTTCTCTGTCTCATCTCTTCCTCAGGACTTTATTCCACATAGTATTCCTAATTGAAGTCAATTAAGTCCAATGGTCAATGAAAATGCTATATAGTACAAGGACAAGGCTAGCCTTCTTTCTCCATTTTCATATTAAGTTTGTCTTATTCACTGAGATACCCTTTGATCTCCATTGATTTTTGAAGACAGTACTTTGTAATGTACCCTAGATTGATTTATTTATCCTTTTTTTTGACAATGTGTTTCTGTATATCTTAACATACCCTGGAACTTACTTGCAGCCCAGGTTAGCCATGAACTTATAATCCTCCTGTCCCAGCCTCCCTTGTGTTAGGATTAACAGTGTGTCCTACTATATTCAGATGTAGAAGTACTTTTATTGGCCACATTAGCACTTTCACACCAAGAACCATCAAAAATTTTAAAGTATTTCATAGGAGGAGATTAAATTAAAAAAGGGAAAAGAGCCCCTATGTTTCTATTTCTGCCCAGGTAGTGCCAATCAATGAGAGGACACAAGCAATACCCTTTTGAAAAGAGTAGGGAGTATCTCTTTGATACTGTTCCTGATGGGGCTGGGGTGTCAGGCTGCTGCAGCCCGGAGGCAGGGATGGTGGGGGTGGACTATGGAGATGAGCTTACTGCACAGAGCTCTACTTGTTACAGATCTTGTCCAGATGGGCCAACTACACAAATCTGCCCTGTTGGAAATCTCACGAACAATGCTCTGGAGACAGCTACAGTACTGAGTAATAAAGGCTGTCCAACTGGGACTCAGATCAGGGCATCAGCTGGTGCTGGGTGCCAAAGAAGCCAAAGTACCAATCAACATAATAGAGCAAAGGAATTCACAAAGCCACTCAGAGCCAAGGCCAGAGGAAGGTACTATCCTTCTCACCAGAGTCCCTAAGCAGAGGAAGTATTTGAGCAATGCCAACATTGGATCCAGTGCAAATGGCTTTCATTTTCTTTATCTTCCTACATATATACAGGGAGTGGAGAAATACTAGGTCTCACTGAGAGGGTTTGACATTCAGCAATCTGTTCAATCACAAAATTGTAAAATTTCAATGAATTGAGAAAAGGTGTCACAAAAGTCTCACTTGGAGGTCATGTCCACTTATCAGCTCTCTTGTATTACTTAGCCCCCCAGACCAATACTAATTTCTGCCTGAATCACATCTGATGTGATTCTGAGATTTAAACAGCATTTTAAAATGGGGGTAGGGGCTTGCTATGACGAGAAATGTTTTGGATATTTTCATTAATTCTTTGTTAATATTTAATGTTGGATAAATATTTCATAAACATATTTTTCAAGAGGAAAGGCTTCATTTATCCAGTTGTTAAGGCTATTGGTGCCTCCATCTTCCTTCCAGCCTGTTCTTCCTTGTGGAATGCCAGTGGTTTAGCCTCTTCTTTCCCTTTGACCTACTATTAGGTCCTTTTGCTTCCTCCAAAAATTCACAGGCCAAGCAAAAAGAAACTTTCTGAGTGGAAGAATTGAATAAAATGTATCCCTTTATCTTTTCCATAAGCATTCTCCCACCTATTGTAAAAGACCAAGTTCCCTTCTGTTTAAAGTGTTAGACTGATTTAAAGTTACTTTCTCTTTTCTTGCTGAGCCATGCAAATGCCTCCCTCAACTCTATCCACAATGTATTACTTCTTTTGAATTTTTTATGTGTCCTCCCACCACTCTTACTGTTTATATCAGGGTTGGCAATATTAGTCTTCTCTCATTATTTCTTGAAATTTGTACTTCACTACTCTGGGATTAATCTTGTTAGGCTGCACTGTTAAAGAACACTAACCAATCTAGTTCAGGAACCACTCAGGGGTTAGGAAGCAATGTTCCACTCACTGGTTCAATGGAAGAATAAGCTTTTTGAGGGCAAGAGATGCACTTTATATAACTTGTTAGCCTACACGGCTCTTGGTACCTAGGAATACACAATATGTATAATTAGAATAAAAGCTTATCTTCCCACTTGCTATATCATATATGATTCTGCTCATTCCCTTTCCATTAATGTAGTCTCCAGGTATAACAGAAACAAAATTAATAATACACCATATATTAATACTGCAATCAAGCTATAATTAAAATCCCAATCACTAGATAAACACTGTCAGTGACAAGTAAGTACAGTGCTGGGAATTTAGGCAGTGCAACCATCTGCTTCCCCCGTTTTATGTGTTGTTTCTGTTGAGGAGACAGTCGTCTCTAAAGGGGAAGCAATTAAGATGTCCCTCCCAGCCTCACAGTCTGCTTTACCATTCTCCAGTTAGAATAATGTTTACAGTCTACAAATATGGGCTGATGGCTTATTAGTCAGAACAGCTTGTTAGTAGATCTTAAGCCAAGGGAAGAATGGCTTCTGACTCAATTCACCCTCACAAAGAATCCTCCCCATTGAAGGCAAAGAAAGTTTGCCAACATGAAGCCACCTGAAGAAGTCACATGCGAACTCAAACATTACCACTCCGGGGTTGCTCTTTTTTGTACTCTCTGTTTTCACTGTAAAGCTTTATTCAACTGTCCTGCTGTGTTATACTCTGTGGTATGTTATTTAAAAACAGGTCTCAGTATTAATTTCCTGGAATAATGGAAAATTCTGGCCATCACGTAAAAGCAGGGACTAGTTTTGTCTTACAGAATGAATCTGGAAAAATAAAAGCATATTCTCTATTTCACTAGACAATTCAATGCTTTAGTGCCAGACAAAGCCTAGATTTGAATGACAATTCCCTCAGCCTCAGTTTATTCTTTTACAAGTTCAAACTCTTGAAGAAATTCAGAACCCAGTAACTACATGATCTTGACCAAACTACTGAACTATTCTCTACTTTAGTCTCGTATTTGTTCAGTGAAGCTAACAGTAACTACCTCATAGTGTTGCTGGGGGAATTTCACAATGTAGGTATTTAACTCAGAATTTGGCACACAATAAACTGCTCAATAAAAATTAGCTATTGCCTAAAATCTCTATTCCACATCTGTCAAATTTCTAACACTTGTACTTGTTTAGGACTTCAAATATCCAAAGTAAGTGTGGGCTTCTCTCTAAACCCACACTCACAAAAAAAGGCCAGATTAAACACTTTTCTTTTATATTTTCAGTGGCACTAGACACCTACTAAGATATAGCACACTTTAAAAATTATTCATGGGAAATTGATGGATATCTCTAAGCCTTAGTCAGTTTTCTTATACTTTGGTTGCAGGCATCTACAATCCACAGCTAACAGGCTGCCTATGTCAAAGGGTAGGTATGAATTTGGTTCAACTCATTTGTAGAGCAGAACATCATATTGCCAACATGAAACAGAGAAATGGGGAGATAAGAATGAATCTCTCTCAAAATTAAAGATAGAAACTACTACCCATTTGACCTTGGATTTCTCTGGAGGTATTATTCTACTGCCCCACTTCCAATTACCATCAAGTTCCTTAAGATAAATGTCTTCACTATGATTCCCACATCTCCACCACACCAATTACTCCTTATTATATTGTAATCTCTTGCTTCTTCCTCCTACAAACTCTTCAAATGTTCCTTCCATATTCCTTATACTTCCTTCATAATTACTATATCAAGTTAAAACTTTTCTAATCCGTCATGCTTTATTCTAACATTGGTCAGAGCTGCCATTATCTGCTTTGATGTCTTTTCTCCCATGACTTTCATT